CTGACTAAACTATTCAAAATACAGCACAAGACATTTGTGAGAGGAGGTACGCCGACTTACTTAGATTCAGGTAGCAGGGAAGGCCTCTGGTAGACTCCCAACGGGGACAGGGCAGAAAGAAAAGCACATCCCTTAGGACGCCTTCTTTTTGTTGGGAAGCCATACTTGGCCCGACAGCTGTCCCTTTTTGTTGGTAAGCCATATTTAACCCTACAGCTGTGCATTCAAGGGCACCTAATGATAAGCTAAGCTATGGATGGCCAAAAGTCGAATAACTAAAATGCACTAACTGAACTTAACCCTAACCTAGCCTTTGTAATCTTGACTACCTAACAACATTGCGGAAAGAAATCATAACGGCAAATCTGAGGTAGGTATATATAAATAGGGTACGAGTGCACAAATTCACAGTCCTGGTGGTTTCTAACATTATCACCTTGGACTGTGTTTATCTGCAAGGGTGAGCACAAACCTCTACCTACCTCTCTCGCCACGTGTTCGTCTACCGAATGGCGGCCACCTAGATATGGCAATATAACACAGATTAACTGTAGTTAGACAATTGTGAAAGCCTTAATGAGGTGCACACTTCTCTCTGAGGTGGTCTATTGATTCGGTAGTTTCCATTCGTATGAAATATGAATGAAACTACCGAACAAACATATGAATACACATACAATTTTCAATTATACAGTCAGTTAAACACACGAACAGTCTTTTTAAACGTAATCCTGGCGGACAGTCCCATGCTATCCGCTACAGTAACTTTATCCATGGAGAAGCTGGCTGTATTGCAAGCATTTCAAACTCAAAGTCTAGCACGGGCCACATAAACAAACCTTAAGTTTATGTGAGCCACAAAAAAAAAAATTTAAATTTTCATAGAAACGTAGGTTTATTTTTATACCGCAACCCCCTCTACTAAATCCCAGTCTCCCCATATACTAAATCCCAGTCCTCCCCCCTCTACTAAATTCCAGCACCCCCCTCTAGCCAAGAAGCAGACTTCACTTACATTGCCGCTGGCAGTATGTGACTCCAGATTCCAACCACTGCCCAGCCGCAGCCATCAACACACTCACTGACAGACACACACACACACACACTGACAGACATACACACACACTGACAGACACATACCGACAGACATACACACACACTGACAGACACACACATTGACAGAAACACACACTGACAGACATACACACACACTGACAGACACACACACACACACTGTCAGACACATACTGACAGACAGAACACACACTGACAGACAGACAAACACACACACTCACTCACATCATTCCCTGGAGTACAGCGGGATCTTCTATCTGGATCTCAGTGTTCCTGCTCCTCACTGCTCCTTCGCGCCGTCTGTAGTGATGCCGGATGCCGTAATATGATGTCATATTCGAGCACCCGGCATTACTACAGATGGCGCGCGAGGGAGCAGTGAGGAGCAGGAACACTGAGCTCCTTCGCTGCCACCTGTGTCCTGCTTCCTCTCCTCCGGCTGGGTAAATGATAGCAGAGTAGGCACCTGCAATATGAGGCGAGCAGGTGCCTAATCTGCTTTTACACTAGGCATGTACTCATGGCTCGGTGGGCCGCAAGGAGGTCCCTTGTGGGCCGCATGTGGCTCGCGGGCCGTGAGTTTGACATGCTTGATGTATTGCATAGCTCTGTCAAGCAAGAAGGTGAGTAGCTCCCTACTTCTCAGCCTGGCATGGGTCCTCTTTCCCTGTTATATGGGGATCTGTGAAGCACCCCAGGCAGGGCCGGCGCGTCCATAAGGCGGCACAGGCGGCCGCCTTAGGGCGCACCGGCCCGGGGGCGCAAATGTCCGGGTGACCGGCAGGAGGGAAGCGCACAGCTCCCCTCTCCTGCCGGTCACTTCTTGTAGTGTGGCCGAGCGCCACCCTGCAGTGCCGCGGACTGTGTGGAGTGGGTGGGGATATGAACGTCATATCCCTGCTCCCACTGTAGCACACAGCGCGGCTGGCGCCCAGCAGGGGCGGAGCCACCACCGGCCCCCTTCTAATCAGCATGGGAGGAAGTCCTCCCAAGAAGACTAGAGCAGCAGAAGCAGAGAGGAGGGGGGCTGGGCAGGACCAGCTCCTCCAACTCCCAACTACCTCAGGCAGCACTTTGGATCCCAGGTAAGCCCCCCTCCTGAACCTGTTGGTCAGTGTGTCTGTGTGTATCCATGTCTGTCGGTGTGTGTGTGTGTGTATGTGTGTGTGTATCCATGTCTGTCAGTGTGTGTGTGTGTGTATCTATGTCTGTCAGTGTGTGTGTGTGTATCCATGTCTGTCAGTGTGTGTGTGTATCCATGTCTGTCAGTGTGTGTGTGTATCCATGTCTGTCAGTGTTTGTGTATGTATATGTCTCTGTCCGTGTGTTTGTGTGTATCTAAATGTCTGTCAGTGTGTGTGTATGTCTGTCTGTTAGTGTGTCTTTGTGTATGTCTATCATTGTGTATGTGTGTATCTGTATGTTTGTCAGTGTGTTTGTATATGTCTGTCAGTGTGTATGTATCTATGTCTGTCAGTGTGTGTGTGTATGTAAATGTCTCTGTCCGTGTGTCTGTGTGTATCTAAATGTCTGTCAGTGTGTGTATGTGTGTGTCTTTGTGTGTTTGTGTATGTCTATCATTGTGTATGTGTGTATCTGTATGTCTGTCAGCGTGTCTGTATGTCAGTGTATGTTTATCTGTATGTCTGTCAGTGTTTGTGTGTATCTGTATATGTGTGTCTGTCTATCTGAATGTGTATCAGTTTGTGTATATGTATATCTGCATGTGCGTCAGTGTGTGTATCTTTGTGTGCGTGTGTGGCAGTGTATGTGTATATGTGCATATATCTCAGCATTCAAACACCAACACTACACACAAATAAACACCTGCATGCAAACAACAACACTACATACAAACACACACCTGCATTCAAATGTCAACACTACATACAAACACACCTCTGTATCAGACACCAAAATTATATATAAACACACACCTACGTTCAAAAACCAACACTACACATAAATGCATGCTTGCATTCAAATGCAAACACTACATACAAACACACCGCTACAATCATACAAACATACTCCATACAAACACATGCTTACAGTCAAACACACAAATACTGCTCCATGCTAAATACAATACTGCAAGCACGGGGAATCGGTAGAGCCCCAGCTTTCAAAGCATTGTTGAAGTTGCACGACAGATGGGGATCTATCTTTTAGCCATCCTGTGTACATACACAGACCTGTCATACAGAGACATACAGTATGTATGTCTCTGTATGACTGTGTGTATGTATTCAAAAGGAATAAACGCAGTCAACACTCCAATAGTACGGATGGTATATTTATTGATAGGTGAACCACCCCAAAGAAAGTGCGTTGTTTCAGCTCAGCAGAGCCTTATTGCATGAGCTGAAACATCACACTTTCTATGGGGTGGTTCACCTACCAATAAATATACCATCCTTACTATTGGAGTGTTGCCTGCGTTTATTCCTATTGAAGACTTTACTGGTGGATCCAGCGATGTCCGCCTGACACGGAGCATCCACCACTGTTGATGGCCGGAGCATTTACACGGTATCAGTGTGCAGGGTTCTTTGTTTGTCTGTGTATGTATGTCTCTGAATGCCTATCTCTATGTTTCTTTATGTCTGTCTGTATTTCTGTGAGGGCCTGTGTCTGTATGAATGCATGTCTGTGTTTGTATGACAATGTACCTGTATGTGTAGATTGTATGACTGTGTTTGTTTGTGTGCCTTTTATGACTGTGTGTCTGTATATCTTTGTGACTGTGTGCCTGAAAAATTATGTCTGTGTGCTTGTATGGTTGTGTGTCTGTATGTTTGTGTATTTGTGCATGTATGTATTTTTGCCTGTATCTATGTCTATGTGGAAGAAAAAGAGAGATAGATAGGGGCTGGCGGGGAAGTAAGAAATACATAAGAGGTGTTGTAGGAGACATACTAAAGGGGGGTGTAAGGCACAAAGGGGCCAAAGGGATAAGACATTCAAGAGAGTGGATATGCAACACTAATGGGGGTAAGAAATTCAAAAGGGGGCTACGAGACACAGAGGTGAAGATGCATTGTATTTTTTATTTTTTTTGGGGGGAGGAGGGGCGTCAAAATGCATCTTCGCCTGTGTAGTCAAAAATCCTAGCACGTCCCCTGACCCCAGGTAGCACGAGCCGTCCCCTCCGCTCTTGGTCGGCTCCCTCGATCGCCCCCTCAGCTGCGTTCCACAAGGACACACGCTACGTCATCACTCCACCCCCTATATTTGGAAATCTGAATCCCCCATTCTTACGTCCCCTAGATATCAATTAGTTTTTTTCCTCTTCATACAAAATTAGAAAAGGCAGTTTTGACCATTTTCAGCCATGGCAACCTCGTCCAAAAGCTGTACCCTAGCATGCCTTTGAGCAACCTGACATATTCTCCCTGCTTATATCTATTTAAACTGCTAAATTCTATGCATTAAGATGTTATAGTGGTAAATAAGGGAACCGGCGGTGGTTACAATTGGTGCCCAATGTGCGTCTTGTACTTTGGAAGCTTTAACTATAAAATAATATATATATATATATATATACTTAGGTAACCTCTTATACGTAAGAGAAGACATGATACTTTGTCATAGAACAAGTCTTGAAATAATGAACTATTTGTAGCGCAGACACAGAGAGAGATCTTCAACATGGAGAGATGATTTTAAGTGAACTTGCACAAGGCACTTGGAGTTAAGGTGCTAGGTACACTGT